GGTGTGAAAATCTAGAAGATTCTCTAGAACTGCTCTAGAAGCATATCTAAAACTGCACCAGAAGCATATCTCGAACTACTCTAGAATCATATCTATAACTGCAGTAGAAGCATCTCTAAATCTGCTCTAGAAGCACCTCTAGAACAGTCCATATTTTTTATATCTAAATATACTTATTTTTATACAATTAATTAATCATTATTATATTTTATATACACATTTTCCAAATAAAATATAAAAGCTTAAAATCCGAGCAATTATTATTATTATAAACAAGCATACAATTCTTTTTTTTCCTAATAGGATTTGTTTACATTTTAAATTATTACAACTTTATTCGAAAAAAATGCAAAAAAAGTATTTATAAAAAGGCAATCACATTGTTATTTAACTGTAAAAAAATAAGTATATTTATATATAAAGTATATGGACTATGATGCTACTAGAGAAATAAAATAAATCTATTCTAGTTCAGATTTAAAAAAAGAATTAATGTTTTTTTATACAGTTGTCTGCAATGCCATAGCCAGATATTGTATTGAATTCTATTTTGAAAGAGACCCAATGGATCAAAAGAGGCCAAACGGATGGATTCACACACATAATGATATATTATAAAATATAATTCTTTGTTTCAATGGATAATATAAAGAAAAAGTCAGTGTAAACATCATTCAAAAATTATAATTACATTCAAAAATAATTTATAAAAATATAATTATTTTTTAAAACTTTAAATCTTCAGAGGAATGTATTTAAAAAGTAAATAAATTTTATATCCATTATGAACTATTGTGTAATTTTTATTTTATGTTAAAATTATTTAAATCTCGAATTTTTCTAATAATTTTACTTTATTTTTTAAAAAATAAAATTCTAAATAATAAATCGAAAAGTGCGAGCATCAAATATTGATATTTTCATCAGTAAATTGGTTATTATGTTTTTAAAAAATTCTTCTACAAAACTTCCATTAAAAATAATAATAAAAAAAAATTGTCAAAAATCTTATTTTTAAGCCATTATTATTAAAAATTAAAAAAGAAAATATTTTTTTATTTAAGAAAATAAAGAAATTTGCCAATAATCACAAGAAAATAAATTCATTTTCAATTATTTTTTATCGCCTTTACTAAATTAATTCATTAAAAAAATTAAATTTTTTTTATTCACTTTACTATCTAAAATCTCATTTTTCTTAATTATAACTTTAATAATAATAAATGAATTTATTAATGTTATATGCATATTTATACATTAAATATTGTAAAGCACACAAATCTAANAATACAGTAGTATATTTAAATTATTTATTTCTTGTGAATAAATTGTTAAATTTTTTATTATTATTAAAATTGTAGAAATATATTTATTTTTATTAAATTTATAAGAAAAATTATATTCATTACTCCTACGATCCGGAACTATAGGAGTTATGTTGATTATTACCTGTGAAAGAATAAAGCTAAATCTGGTCCTTGTGGACACTAGGAATCTAGTTTGTAGGATATCATTCTGTCGTCCCTTCAGGAGACCCTAGAAACGGATATAGGGCTAGTACCTACTGTACGTATTATTAATAGTACCTATTGCGGTCTAGTACCTATCAGCTATAGCGGGCTGAAAGATTAAAGTGCTGGAGGGACCGAAGTACCTGAAAGCCTAAGGGCCCAGCCATGAGTTAATACATCCCTGAATTCAGTCACCCGTAAAGTTGTCGAAGAGTTTAACAGGCTACATCCAGATCGCTGCGTGTGATTGGTGGGAGTTCTGGATGTATCCTATTAAACTTTTCGACAATTTCACGCTGATTGCACGTTCCCACCATCAAAATAACTTGAATTTGTTCCCGCACCATGTTTGTTTATTCTTTTACAGATGAAGATCAACATAACCCCTATGGTTCCCCACTGGAACATCCTGTTTATGTTTTTATTAATTTCAAAAATACGTTTTCAAATGAAAATATTGATATTTTAACATAAAAAAATTTTAATTTTTATAGAAATTATAAAATATTATTTACCTGTAAATTAATTAAATGTATAATTTATTGTTCGGTTTTTAATAAATTTATATATTAAAAAAGCCAGAAAATTACTAATCAATATTAGTTATCTCTTCTTATAAATTTGTTCAATCATTAATAAAAATATTCGCTAAAAATGTAAGATTTTTTATTTGTTTAGAGAAATTATTAACCGATAATAACGAAGATAAATATTTAATATACTACAAAGACAAATGGATTTATAACTTAAGTGTGATCTATGTAAACTATAAGAGTACATTGTACAAGAAATAATCTAATGATTAATTTAATTATAAAAGAGTAAATAAGAAAAAAAATAATATGCATCAATTAATTTATGTTTTATGCAGTAGAATCGAGTTTTCGTTTAGTTAAACCAAGAGAAATTTGGCATCTTTGTTTAATCTTCTGGATGTTGTAGGTAAATAGGAAATTAGTTAATTTATAGATTAATCTCGTGAGTCAATTTTCCATCCTAATAATACAGTTTAATGAACCTTTGAAACGTAAACTAAAAAGTATTTAGCAATTATTTAACCTGTTCTTTCATTTAAATTCGATTATTTTTTCTAAATATTAAGTATATATTTACAATATAATTTAATATTTTTAGTGGCTCTTGGAATTACTTAAGGATTTTACAGTAAAAATATAATTTAAAATTAAAAAGAATTTTCAAAAAAAAATACTGGAAAGATACAAAATTACAGTGCACATGAATTCATTTAGTTACAAACTTTAACTTTTTATTTAAAAGTTTAAATTAAGTAGAAGAAGAGGGAAAAAAATGATAGAATCTGTTCGGCAGTTTAAATTTGAAATCTTGTAAAATGATTTAATCAGGAAATTCTACTTTACTACAATTTAAATAACCTTCAACTGAATTTAGCAAAATAAAATTTTCTAAAGAAATAATTCAAGTTAAATTTTTATATTACTTATTCTATTTTAACTCTTATAATAATGTTATTATGTATAAATTATTTTTATTATCCATTTTTTTTATCCCTTCAAAAACATTTAATTTCTTACAGTTTTTAAGTAAAAAATTAAATAAATTGATCAATATAATTAA